GCCTAGGACGAATGATGGATGGATCACGATTAGGACACTGTGATGGGAGGTGCCCAATATCACATCGGCTACAAGTTTCATATACTGTGTTTTGATTGGATGCCCAGCTAAGTTGGCGACCATTGCCACGTCCAAGACTGCTACCACAAGAAGTTCCACGACGACGATTACCACGGTTGTCGTGGGGCTGACGAGAACCATAGAAAGCTCGAGGGTCCGAAGTTGCAACAAGTATCAACTGATAACCAAGGGTAGATGCAATGGAACTGATTTGAGCAACAAGTTGTTGATGATGGTAGACATAAGGCTGTGGCAAATCAAAAGGCTGTGACAAACCAGAATTGCCGGTTTTAGTTGCAAAAACCTGAGAAACAGATGGAGTAGAGGTACGAGTTTTCCCAAGCATGTAGTCATGGTCACTGAGAAGGGCATGAAGTTCATTGAAGGCAGTCGGGAATTGACGTGCGGTGATGGTAGATTTAAGACCATTGTATTCTTCACGGAGACCAGAAACTACAAGCATAACGAGATCTTTATGTTTGACAGGTTTGCCAATGGCAGCTAGAGCATCTGCATACTCCTGTGCACGATTGAGATAAGCCTCTGGAGTTTCATCACCTTTCATTTGAATCTTGAGAAGTTGAGTTTTCAATGTATATTCTCTGCATGATGTGTGAGGGGCATAGGCTTGTTCTAGGGCAAGCCATGGATCATGGGAAATTTCACCCTGGACATGTCAAAAAGAGGCTTCAGAGATGGTGGAGATAATGAGCATGCGAACGTGAGCATCATTAGAAATCCAAATCGGGTAATTAGGGTTATCTTGTGGATCGGTGGTAGCCTTTAGATCAGAGGTGGTTGTGGTTGATGGTAGATGTTTTGGACACGGTATTGATCCATCTATATATCTAAATAGGTTATTTGTGACAAGAAAGGGTTGAATCATTGTTTTACAATAACCATAGTTTATAGGAGTTAGGGTAAAAGCAAACTTGTGTGAATTGTGAGATTGTTTCTCCGCTGTTGTGAAAGAGGCTATTAGAGCCATGATATAGTAATGTACCGTAAAAGAAAAATAGGGTTCTAGTGGCGGCAGCGGACAGCAGACGGCAGATTTCAGCGGCGGCGGCAGCGGACGGCAGAGGACGGTCAGATTAAACAGAGACGGCGGCGGCAGCGGCAACGGACGATCTGCCTTGTAGTGGCGTGACCAAGAGGGCAGATAAGGTTTTGGTAACTTGGCTCTGATACCAAAATAAACCACAAGGGTTTTGTGTATTGATTTAATATGTAACCTAATTACAATCGGTCTCTATATATAAAGATACTAATTATATAGGAGTGCCCTCTACATTATGCTAATTGCACTTAAGTACATTCAGTCTAATATTGATCGTGAAAGGGAAGAGAGATATGAAGAACAACAAGTTGTTCGAATGTTGTTATCATGCTTTGGTGGGTATAGGATAGTAAAAGACAACATGGAGATTCAATGGCCTTTGGAGTCTGCATTGAGGAGCTTAATGGGAATATATGGATTGGAACCGACCAAATCGTATTGTTTTGAAAGCTTCTAGGCGTTGGTGTTTGCATGGAGATATAGTGATGTCCCCTCAACATGCCTCTACAAGCACAACTGGACAGAGTCGGGGGATCTGGAGTTACTGGTTTTGAAAAATTTACTTGCTATTGAAGCTTATTGGAGAGAAGGGGTATTGTGGCTTGATCAGTTTCTCTTCTTTTTCTTTCTACCTTGAGGACAAGGTGGAGTTTTGGGGCAGGTATTGTTATACTCTTAAGTAATGGATGTACAAGAAGTTACTGCGCAAGTCATACAAGTAGTTATTGTGAGGGCTTTAGTATTAAATAACAGGCCTGTGAGTTCAGGCGGGGTATTCTGTTTTGTAAACACCTTTTTGGGCATGAGTTTTCTGGAGAGATGTGGAGAGATCCTGACCTCGAAAAAGCCAGAAAACCCCTTGTAAGCATTGAAGCATTATGTTTTCTTTGAATTCAATCATTTGATTTTCCCGGTTTGCATCAGGATAGTTGTCAATTTAGTTGGGGCCAACAGAAAACGTTAGGAGGCCATCTCTTTATGGCTTTGCAAAAGCTCGCCATGTCCTTGGCTTGAAGTTTTTTGAGGTCGATATTTTGCTTGCTCTGTTGCTTGGCAGAATTTGGCCATGGCTTCCACCAAGTACTTTTCTTATGCTTGTTGGCAAAACCAGGCCATGGCTTCACCATGTGCTTCTCCACTTCTTTACGGAATCTGGCCCTCCCTCTAACTGGTGGAAGTTCCCTTTATGGTAATCTTCAAATATGGAAGAACATAAAGAACAGAGATTTACCTTCTCAAAGAGAAACATGAAATCTACCTTCCTTTTTGGTTTGTAGCCTTCAGGTCTCCCTTGATCTCATAAAATGGATGCAGAAGTGTGACTTGTTTCAGTGTTTGGGGTACTCCATCTGGGGTTGAAATTAAGCAATGGGGTTTGGGAGTGTTTCACTCATCACTGCTAGCCCGAAGAGAGAATGATGGTTAATTAGTTGTTGATCATTTGTTCTTCTAAGCAACCATCAAAATGCATAATTGGGAGATAAAAAGAACCTGCAAATTTGTTACTTAAGCATGGAGGTTTCATTCTCCAGGCATAATTAGGAGATCAGAAAAGTATGTTATAGGGGTTTCTAGATTTTTAGGAGTTTTTATACTTTAATTGTTTAGTATTTTTCATTTAGGTATATTAACTTATATTTTTAAGGTTATAAAAATATGGGTTTTAGAAGATGAAAGAATATGTGTTCAATGAAGATGAGTATGAAGAAGATGAAAATTGAAGATGATGAATGAGGACTTTGGTGTGTTTTACCTCTTAAGAGAGTTTTTCAAAACTTTTTCTTATTTGACTTTCTTTCTTTGTCACACTTTTCACAGGCCGGGGGTCTTCACGGAAACATCCGCTCTCCTTTTTTGAGGTAGAAGTCAGGTCTGCCTACATTTTACCCTCCCTGGACCCCACCTCTGGGGGATATACTAAGTTTGTTTGGTTTGGCCCGTATAATGGAAGTTACTAGATGGAATAATGTTAGGGTCTCGATTGTTAGCAAATACTCAAAATCAGACTGAGAATGCAAAAACTGTTGTTAAAAGACTAAATGTGTTTGTTGGGAAATAATCTAGAGATGATTTTTGCAATTCACTCCTCGTTTCAGTTTCATAGAAGAATCAATTCATTTTGATATTTGGTTGGTCCTAACAATCACGAAAGAATTATTTTTTGTTTTTGTTTTTTTGTTCCCTTTGATTTATAATCTGTATATATGTAGTACCTCTCATGACTGTTTGTCAAGTGATCAAATACAATTCAAAGCCTTTGCCAAATTTGGATGTTGATCAGTGATCAAATTCCTAACCATTGTCTTAATCTTCTGGCATTTGCCTTCTTGCACAATACGTGTAATATTGGTTTCAATGCTTTTATCCTATGTACGTTCTCATTATACTCTTCATCCTGTACGTCAAACTAGTTCCTCTTTTAACATGTTATGATATCTTTGTGTTGTGTCTCCATAAGTCACACTTCATACACACTGTTTCCTTTTCCATCTTAATATGAGACCATCTCATCTCAACATGTTTATCCAACCTCCAAATTTGCAATAACACCTTGCCAGTGTCATTCATCAACACATGTTTTTATATAATGATTGCCTGCCTGCAACTGCAACTCACTGGTATGACGAATCTCATCTTGCATTACTCACGGATATAACATTTTTGGTAAGTTCATAAGTTCGTTATAAATATGTATGTATATATGTATGTATATACACACACACAATGATGAAGTTAATTTCCCCATCTGCGACTCTTAAGCAGCAACCACATCACTTCATGATGGGGCCATTGGATGTAATTAATAGGATAAAAACCAAGAGCCTTTTCCATCTTGGTGATTAATGTGGATGTAAATCTTAGGACACAAAGACAATTCCATTTTCCATCTTAACCACAAGGTGACTAATGTAACCCTGAGGGCTTAGCTCAATGGCAATCTCATGGGTCAATAAAAAGGGTAATTACTCTTACTCCCAGGTTTGATTTTCATTGGATGCAAAAACCCATGTGGCCACGCCAGCCTCTCATGATGGCTTCTTCCACTTTTAAAAGCAATGACTAATGTGGATGTCCGTCACTTAACTCTTTTCTGTCATGGGCATCTCTATTCGACACTCCCTAGATTACAATTTACACAATATTACGGTAGTTGACCAGGGGTGGGAACCTAGCCTAGACGGTAGGAAGGGATATGGAGAGGTAAAGGATGAGCGTAGGGTTGGTGGGTCAGCAATTAGATCTCCTGAGTTAGACTAGGTGTGTTAGTATTCCTACCTTGGTTATGTTTTCTTGTAGCTTCTGTTTGAGTGTTTTGATTATTTGTTTGTTTATCTGCCTGTTTGAATGTTGTTGCTTATTTCTGACCCACCGTTTTCACTTTTAGCTATGTGTTTTTTTCATCTTCCTTTTCTTTTTCTATATCTATTTCAAATTTTATTTGAGCAAGCTTTATCATTTATTTTCACACACTTTGCACAAGCCTAAGGGTCTTCACGGTAACAACTGCTAATGCTATACTCTTAGGAGCATCCCACCTTCCGCAGACCACACCTCCGGGTGAGACAACTGGGTTTGTTTGGTTTACTTTATGCATCACATTTACCCTTGAAATGGCAATCGTACTTTTGATCATCACTAGTGGATGTGTTTCCTAAAGAAGAGTTTACGATCAACAAATCATAACCCATTACAAAGTTTACAACTTCTTTCCATTGATATTATTTTCCATAATCAAAGTCTTGATTTTTGTATTCTCTACCCCTGATTAATGGCCTTCGACTGACGGTCCACATTTTCATTTACCGACTTCTAGTGTGTAATAATAGTCATTGGAAGTTTGGGGCGAGTATTATCATTTATTTATTTCATTCTGTGGTAGATATGATTGAAGAGTTGGTGAAGACAGGCAAGGAGATCGAGGCCGTTTATTTTGCTTCCGAGGCTGGGTTGACGGACCAGTTTTCTCCAGTCACACTACTCAAATCCAGTATTAAGAGTTTTAAGAAAAAACCTTCAAAGGATATATCTTCATTGGTAAGTTGATGCTTTTAACATCATATTTTCTATGCCAAATGGTTATAATTCACTACAACAAAATCGCCTTTATAGGACGCCGAAAATTTCTAAGCGTTCAAATAGACGGTTTTATAGGACTAATGTTTATAGGACCAGGAAATTGTGCGTCCTATGTAGAAGTGCTACAACAGTTTACAAGACGTTTTTGAGCGTCTTAACAAGATTTTTAGGACAATTTTTAAATAAAACCGTCCTATTAAATTTTTAGGACATTATTTGCAAGTGTCTTATAAAAGCAAGTGTCATGTAAAAAAGACGTGTTCGTAGGACATTTATGAAAAGCGTCATGTAAAAGAGCTAGTAAGACACTTTACTTAAATAAATGTTCAAAGAACTTGTTATAATTCAAAAGCGTCATATAAACTTATGCATAGAACGCATACGCGATTGGTACCTATAATATTAAGTTCTATAAAACAGTCTACTAGGTTACTTAGAAATTTTTGGGGTCCTATAAACACAATTTTGTTAATCTTTCGTTCGATCATCTTGTTAAGCATTGCCCATATGTTTTCAGGACGATATCAACAACGAATTGAGTGTCATCAGAACAATTATGAAATGTATTGAGGACTTCAAACTCGAATCCCACTTCACCAGCGACAACCTGCAGAAGCGGGTTAATGAGTTGGAGAAGATAAAATCAGATAGGAAAAGGTCTGGCCCAGCATCCACAAGCAAGCCGTCAAGCAAGCGGCACCGCAGCGAAAGGAGTGGCGGCGGCTCATCCCGACCTCCTAAATCCGTCAGGTTAGCAATGTCTGCCCGCCAAAGAAACCACCCTGCACCACCAACACACCAGTCTTCTGCTGCCAGATTCTCTGCACCATATAGCTACACCAACCCAAGTGTGTATGAGGGTACCCCTAACTCGGCCGCATATGGGGTTGGTTATGGCAGCTATGGTGTGGCCCCCTCCCAAAGCCCAGCCAGATACGGGGTTCAGTATGCGAACCCCGGTCAGGATTACGGTAGTTATGATTATGGTGCTGCCGCTGCAGCTGCAGCTGCACCTTTGGTGCCTACTTACCCTGCCACATATCAACATTAGTTTGCAATTTAGAGAAGAAAAGGTTTATGAGTTTTTTGTACTTTAGCTTCTGATTTCTAAGAAAAGAAATGGTGGTCTATGGTTTGTTAGATTATTGTATCATTTAGTATAACCATCTTATAACTCCCTACTTGAATGGTTGGTTATACAATCGTTCATTTTTCAGTTCCTTCATTTTGGATTCTTCTAAAAAACGATCATTAGTAAATGTTTTTACGTAATAGGGATAAGCGTTTGGTAAACGATCTGATCCTTAACTGCATAAGTTTAGGCATTTAAACCCGAGCAGATATTTTCTTTACGATAACCTCAATTTGTGTGATATTTTAAAATCGAAAATTTACACTCGTTTGTCGAGAAGGATTATGATGATCGGTGTATATTTTGGTAAGTGGTTGTTCATTTTTCACACTAGTGGGTACAAGTGCATTATTTTCCGCTTTTGCTCCTAGATGTCAAAACTAACATTATCATAAAGAAATGGGCCGTTTACCCAAATGTTTATTTGGTAAGCACTTACCTATAGGAGTTAACACTATAATTATTTTGATGCATGATATTTTAGTACATCAAAACATATCTAATACACCAATTTGTTGGGTAAGCGTTTACCTGGGTAAGAGTCGTCATCCTTACTTACCGGGTAAGACTCTCCATCATTTTTCACCGCTCTTACCCGGTAAGAATCTTGGCCCTTTTCATATTCATCCAATGAGGATATTTATGACGTTAAACACTTACCATGTAAGTGTTTAGTAAACGGCTCCTCACACTCTATAGGTTTTCTTCTACTTAAATCATTTTTTACAATAAATGCATAGTTCAACAAATATAACCATATTTACATTATTCTCTTGTGATAATGGATTCAAATTATGAATGTTTTGTTATATTTGGATGTGGTATGTGCCAAATAAGTGTAGACGCAATGGTTTAGCAAACATTCTATAAATGACAATTTGTAACAACCTCATCCTACTAGACCTAAGATGAGACGTGATAGAACTGAAAACGGATAAAAAAACATACAGATCAATGTATAGAACTCTAACATAACTCCTAAAAGATTACATTATAACCAATAATATTCATATGTTTAACATATTTACATAGCAAAAGTACTGATCTAAAACTATTCTTTCTGTATCCTAAGCCATCTCGACCGTTCATCCTGCCCCCGAGTTAGATTCGGAACCTATCGTGGTAAAATAAAACAAATCTCGACTGAGGAAAATTTGCCCAGCGAACGAATAATTAAACTATAAATACAAGATAAAATAACAAATGCAAGAAAACGTTACGACAAAAGTTGAAATCGATTTAAGTGAAATATCTTAAATTGGAACTTATATAATTAAAAATTCAAGGTAAGAAGGTATTTGTATCATTGGGATACGTTGTTCCCGATGGGTGATCAGTCCAATCAAGCATCGTAATGGAATAGAAGTGTCGGGCACTACACCATCTCATTCTCCGGTAACTAGAGATATCTGGTATTCGGCTCTATCCTGTAACCAATATAATGTAATTGGTATTCGGCTCTATCCGGTAACCATGGTAAATGGTATCCGGTTCAAGGGTGCATCCAACATTCTCTATTTGGCTTGGTCACAACTCTTATGAGAATGTCATGATTATTTTAGCCATCATGGAGGCTTCTCATACTCGTGCCCGGGTACCGAGCCTAATCAAAAGTAAATTTAATAACTTTAAATTCAAACTCATTAATCATATCAACAATTTAACATGAGATAATTAGAACAATAAAAGCATGAAGCTTTCGAATTAGTTTATCGGCAAGAATCATAAAAGAGACCATTAACGGATCAAAGTTCTCAAACATACAAAGTATTTAAGACAAGACATCTCATAAAACAAAAGATTTCGGATAACCTCCACTTTTGTGGATGAATGCCATGATCAAGATTCCATGGAATGGATAATCACTACAATTGATTACCCACATATTGAAAGAAAGTAAATATTCGTAATTTAGAAGTGTTCTAGAAATGACCACAAGAGACTTGAGGCTTATGAAATGTTTTCTCCTTCCGGGTTACCTACACTTATTAGTAAAACAACTTTAGATGATTTTTCGATAACAGTTGTCATCAATTTCAAGTTCCTACAAGCCCTTATAGTTTAAAAGATTCTACATACCTTCAAATATGCTTAAAATACCCTTAGAACACTTAATACACACTCAATACAATTATTAGGACCCCAGACAAAATTTATAAAAATCCAATTTCTACATACCAAAACAATAACTAACAGATTTTTAACACCTAACATTTAATCTTAGGATTTCAAAGAAACTAGATCCACATAATTTGGAGCTTTCTTCTAATTACTACAAAATTTACACTAACATAATGCAATTTCGAAGCTGCAGAACAGGGCTGGGAAAACCAATGTTTTCGAGTCATTTAAACTCAGGACTAGGTTTTGGTGTAAACTACAAAGTTGTAGTACACTCATATATCTTTCTTTAGATATAAATAATTTCTCATTTGGACAAATTGTTGATTTTATACGAACTTTCAAACTTACTGAATTGAATCTGACACTTCCAACAGCACCAAACTTGAAGAAATTCCACCTCAAATCATCAACCTTCCACATATGTTCATGAATAGGCTTAGGGTTTAACCCATTTGCCCAAAAGAATTAGAAATCACAAAAATGAAACCATAAACATACCTTATTTTGAGCCCTAGTTCCGATTCTAACATACTATCTTCAAGAATCTTGGAATTTCATAAGTGATTTGAGGTTTAGAGATGAGGTTTAAGATTTCTAGAAAGGAGGAGAAATCGTATGAATCTTGAGAGAAAATCTGATTTTGGTTTTAAAAAATAATAATAATTTCATATTCTTATTTACAATATTTATCATCCAACCTTTGATCTTAAACTTATTCTCAAATTAACCCTACTTTAGCAATTTCCTTTGCAGTTTGTTCATAACCAAGATTGTTTCAACCAACAATGGAGCCGAAATAAAAAATATATATAAAATGAACTTGCCTTAATGAAAAACTCTTGAAGACTACAAGATTAGATTTTCTAAATACGAGGTATTATAATTCTTCCCCCCTTAAAAAAATTTTGTCCCCGAAATCGAGTTAGAGTTATGAATTTATGTACCTTCAGAAAGTTGTGGGAACTGCTTTCTCATTGATTCTTCTGTCTCCCATGTCGCTTCACTTTCAGAATGATTTCGCCATAAGACTTTAACGAATGGAATCGATCGATGACGCATTTTTCTTTCTTCACGTCGAATAACAGCTTTTGGGATAATCAATGACGTGCAACAGATGATATATAACCGTAGATTGTCAACACATGAAAAACATTATGAATATGAGCCAACTGGGGAGGTAACGCGAGGCGATACACTACTTCACCAACTCACTCTAGAACTTCAAAGGGTCTAATATAACGTAGACTGAGATTTCCTTTAACTCCAAAATGACATGTACCCTGTAAAGGAGAAACTTTAAGGAAAACATGCTTACCTGATAGAAATTTCAACGTTCTACGGTGTCGGTCAACATAACTTTTTTGGCGCGATTGAGCCTCTTTCATTTTCTTACAGGCGACCTCAACTTTTTCAGTTGTGATTTGAACTAATTCAGGTCTTTTAATTGCCTGTTCGCCAACTTCATTCCAACAAATAGGTGTTCGACATTTACGATCATAAATAGCTTCGTATGAGCCATGTGAGTCTCAAATCAACAAGCAAATCAAGTTCAATTCATGTTAGAAGATTGAGAGATGAAGAACATTGAGAAACTAGCTAGATTTCTATTATCGGAAAGCTGAAATTACAATCTCTCAATGTCACTTAATCGACTCTCATTAGAATTACATGAATGATTAACATATAATATAAGCCCCATGTCACCTATTTATAGGAGACATTACAAGTAAAGATCACATCCTGTAAGCCCAGTTACAAGTAAATACAATACAATACAAGAGTAATTGACTTTATAAAACTTTCTAAAACTTAGGACTATTTTGGTCCTAACAATCTCCCCTCAAAGTTTTATAAAGCAAGCATCTCTTGAAACTTCAAGTCTTCTCCCCCCCTACGTTCCTTAAGAAAACTTTGGTGTGCCTGGTATAATAAGATCTTCAAGCTCCCCTTGAAGATAGTTCTTACTCTTTAATTTTCAACTTTAAGACAAGATCCAATGTGAGTTAAGCACCACAATTTGCACAACGTACAGCTAAGCAGTAGATGACTCAACACAACCTTGAACCGCAGAATCGTCGCTAATCTGTTAGCTATAGATTCATCCAACTATGGGATAGATAAATGTGCGAGCCTCGTGACATTCCAGTGCAAATAGTCCAAAGACAAAGAATCTTTGAATGAACCACGAGTTGAATAGGCATTCAACTTAAGAACTTAATCCTAGTAAGTTCACAATCGGGTAATTAACATTTGCTTGAAGTACCAAAGCAAACACCTTTGACTTTGAAGATCCGGAGAGAAGAATCAACAATAAGCACATAGCTTTAAGAACATCAAGTCAACCTAGATAGATAAGTCGATTTTCTTTAACCTTTTAGAAACTAAATAACCAGAATCAGATTCAAAATTCCCAACCAAAAGAATGATTATGAGCACTCCAAACTCTTAGATCATATCATTAAAACAATGATTCTAGACTATCAAACCTCTAATTGATCAGGTTAGAAAAATGACTGAGAACACTCAAAGATCTGAGAATTTCCAGAACCTCCAAAACACTGATTGCAAACCTTTAAGACATCTGATTGATCAGGCCAAAAGAAATGAGTGAAAGCACTCAATGGTCCAACCTCTTGTAGAAAACTCCAGAGAAATGATTGCAAATATCAAACTCTAGCTAGTTTAATCAAATACTAAAACCAATCAAATTAATCTGAAATATTTTCAAATCCGGCTTTAAGCTTTAATCTCAATTTGGTTGACCAAGAAGTCAAACTTTGACTTTAAAAGTCAATGTTGACCAAATTTGTTGTATGATGCTCTTAAGAGCAAAAATGATAAACATCACCTTAATCATTAAGTTCATGGTGAATAGGGCCAAGATATTCAATAAGCACACATATTAAGCATATGAGTCAATATGGACAAGTACTCATATGATGAGCGATGAGCATAGGAAAGATTACTC